GTCATTGCTATGGTCTGCGACTACCATCAGACCTTTCAGGCTGGCCGACCCTTCGGTCACGTACCAGACAAGAAGCTCCCAGCCAAGCGAAAGGATACTGCCATGACTGAATCTCTGTGTCGCTAAACTAACGCTCATGAGGAGCTCGGTTGCTTGGCCTTTCGAGAGACACGAGACCTGCGCATCACTACAACCAAGCCAGCACACCCTGCACCAGACCCAACACTCACTCCGGCCATACGAGTGCCCATCAATTTCGATAAGCATCAAGACGCAATTCAACATATTTTGATCTGTCCACTTTTCCATAGAAGTGGCTTTCGAGAATATCTGCGATTCTTGAATAAAAACACAGTCAGACTAGGTCGTTTACGGTGATTTGAGCACTGGCAGTTGAGTTTTTCCACAATAAAATGAAAAGGTCTTACGGTGCCATTGAAGTTCGGCTATATTTACCTTCCAAACGGCTATCTCATCCAGGGTGAACTGCAGTTTCGACCTCGTCTAGGTCTCATCTGTACCCACGGCGGGATTGATTCGTTACAGCTTTAGCATAATCGTGGATTAAGTGAATATATATTTGCCATTACAATTAACGATGTTACCGATTTTCGCTATAAGTGATTGAGTAGGCACTAGGTGATGTGAAAAGTTCCGTTTACCCTGAACAAGATAGCCTATTCATTCTCCCGTAGGAAAGCTCAAATGTTAACTTTTTCCTGCTCTAGCCTCATATCATGCCGCGTTCGGTCTTCTTGATTGGGCACTTTACCGAAACTGAAGTTATGCGCCTCCTCGTCCGCTTCGGTGCTCTATAATACAGATTACAAAATAGCCCCTTTCCTGTTGATCTTCATGCTGAGGTGTTGGGTGGACTTATCGTTTGGAGCCAAATGTTAGCATGACCTCAATGATGATAGTTAATTAGGAAGGCTTAGGACTAAAATATGTGTAGGAAGACGTATAATTGAATGCTACAGAATAAAATAAGTGCAAAGCCTCTGAATTCCTTCCAACAGACCACATGAAATTAAATGGAATCCCACCGTCGGCGCATCTCCGTGTGACAAATACGAGTCCCACTTAGGCTTAAAACTGACCGGTAGTGACCAGCTTTGAGGCACACTAACCAAGTATCAGTGGCGGTACAGGTGAGTAAATATAAAATGGAGGTCAGTCTTCGAGGCCCGTTACTCCGCGGAACCCATGGATGCCTCGCCGTCGATGGAGGACCGGGATCGAGGGGCTAATGATGGGGCCTAGTTACTCTAAAGTGGCTGGGGATCGCAAAAGCCCGCGCAATTGGCAGCGCAGGGGGCTGGATGAGCCAAGTTGTCGGTCAGTAGTTCGTATGGGATTGGATGGTCGGGTTCAGAGAAGTGGAGTACTTGCTGAGTAACTTCATTCCACGACTAGATTATGCAAATGGCAATAATTTTAACTGGAACCAGCTTGTCTGAATGATATTTTCTGGGATTTACACGAATGGGTTATGCAGAATGTGTGGATGTCGTTGGTATGGGCAGCTTGTTGTGTGGAAAACTTGGTAAACCGTTTCATTTATACAATTCACAATTTTAGTTAAACTTTCTATAGTCTAGAGGGTTGGGCATTATGCCGACTAAAGACTAGGCAGTTGGGTATGCAAATTCTGTATGTTTGCGTCTGTGAAAGAGCGTCGGAGAGCAGCTGAACCGTTTCGGCCTGCTAAGAAACCTTGACCACATGACAATCTGAAAGCACTGATCTACGAAGAAAAAAAAGTTAAAAAATTGGGCAAAGTTTGGACAAACAGCGTTTTGCCTACAACGCAGCAAGATTGCCTTAGTTAGAGGGACTACTTAAAAATAGAACTTATCGGTAAGAGAAGGGGTCTGTTAAAAAAAGTACGAATGGTGAAGTCCTTTTTCACCACCACGCTGAAGGCTTGGGACGGATTTGGGCTTCGCTGGGGCGAAAAGGAGGATCGGTTGAACAGGAGGAGACGTCGTCACGACGCGTGAGCTCAGCTTGGCCTCGATCAAACCGACGAACTGAGCATCTCCGGTCGTCCGGGCTGCAGACCGCCCCTGTCTCTGGGCTGTCTCAGCGGCCTGGGCACAATGGTGGCCATCTGACCGGCTGGGCCGACACCAGTCGCCGGGTTATTGAGCAGCCAGTCGATGTCGCTTAGCAACAGGAAGTCCTTGAGGGGTGCAGGCAACGGGAGTTGGGGCAAGGCGTCGAGAAAGCGAAATCCAAGGCCTTGACGAATCACCTTGCGGCACCAGTGCCGCAGGGGTTTCACTTCGTCTAGACCGGCGTACCGGCGCGCCGAGGGACTGGTGTGCTGGGCCAGACAGAGCATGGCGGAGAAGCCGGCGGGGGGCAGAGACGAGGGTCCGAGTCCTGCGGACGTCGGGACTCGCATCCGGCAGCAGCCGACCTCGGAGAGGACTCGAGCCATCTCGAGGTGGCCGCGCTCCAGAGCCAGCTGGAAAGGGGATTTCTCCTCGTAGCCGAGGTGCTGGTGTCCTCCGGTGCCGGTGCAGGCCGGCCCGCAGTCAGGCACGGACAGCGCCTGGACGGGATCGGGATCCACATTGCCCGTGGAGACATGATTATGCGGCTCCGGCGCCTCCAGACGCCCCAGGGTCTGGATTGGCGAGCAGGATCGAGTGGAGCTCGAGAAGGCCTGGCAAATGGGAACTCGTTTGGCGGGCCGATCAAAATCATAATTGTATGCGAGGAAGAGGT